TAAGCTCATTTAACTTAACTGCCTCCACAACATCTGAAGGCAATCCATTCCAGAGGTCAACCACCCTCTTAGAAAAATAAAACTGTCTTAGCTGAAGATGACTCCTACCTTGCCAAAATTTATATATTTTTGTCCTCAAGTCCTACTATTCTCACCATTAAGTATGAAAACGATGATGCATCAATGCAATCTTAAACACTTTAATGACATCCCCTCTAACTCTTTTTATTCAAGAGAAAACAGTTTCAAAGATCTTAATCTCTCCCTATATGACAAACCCTCCATCCGAGGCACCATTCTAGTAACCCTCCTCTGAACCCTTTCCAACAATTCAATGTCCTTCCTTAGGTAAAGAGCCCAAGACTGAACACAATGCTCCAAATGTGGCCTAACAAGTGACCTATACGATGAAATTATCACCTCTTTAGACTTGTATTCAATATTTATGTAGATACAACCTAAAATCCTATCTGCTATAAAACTAGCAACACCACATTGCTTGAGAAACTGATCAACCATTACACCAAGATCCCTTTCTTTCATGACACAGTTAAGGTTATTCCCATCACTATTACACATATAATTCAAATTATGATAACCCACATGCATTATCTTGTATTTAATGTAATTAAAATCCATCTGCCGTTTATTTGCCCAACTCACTAAATGATCTAAATCCTTTTGTAAAGCAGCAGCATCTTCTTCACAGCTAGCAACACCGAAGACCTTAATATCATCAGCAAATTTAGGTAATTTATTGACCATTTATTAATCTATGTAAATCAAAAAGAGCAAAGGTTCTAAGACATTTATCCAGTTTGACTGAAATCCATTTATAACAACCCTCTACTTTCTTCCATCCAGCCACTCTTCTATCTAATTAGCTAATTTATGCCCCACACCTATAGAGATAATTTTTTACAAGCCTTTTATGAGGCACATTGTCAACTGTTTTCTGGAAATCCAGAAACATCAAATCTATACCCTTACCTTTATCTACATACCCAGTAACCTTTTCAAAGAATGACAAAAGATTTGTATCACAAGATTTTCCCATATTAAAACCACGTTGTATATAAAAAAAAATTCTAAACTTTGTTAAATGACTTTGCAAAGCATCTTTTATCAGACTTTCCAAACTTTTCCCACAATTGATGTAAGACTAATGGGTCTATAATTACTGGGACAATTTTTAGCTCCTCCCTTGAAAAGAGGAGTTACATTAGCTGACTTCCAATCCTCTGGAAGGTACCAGAGGACCAACAAAAAAATAGTAGCAAGTGGCTCGCATATCCAATCTTTAACTTCCTTCGAAACCCTTGGGGAAATAATATCTAGCCCAGGATCCTTATCATTCTTTAAACTTCCCAATTTTTTCTTAACCAGTTCAGAATTAATGCAGTCATCTTGTTTCCATCTACCAACTGTTCAAGATGAGAAATACTGCTAATTCTTTATTAGTAAAAACTGAACAAAAAGCAGAATTTAATAACCCAGCAAGCTCATAATCATCAAAGCCTTCCTTTATCATCCCTGACAGTTCCTACCCCATTCTAACATTTTGTTTACTCTAAATGTAATTAAAGAAATCCTTACTGTTAATTTTTTACAGTTTTACAGTTTTTTTCTTCATCTTTTAAATCTCCTGCCATACCAGTCAATTTAAATTTCTTAAATTTTATCTCTTATACCCTTTGTAAGCCAACCTAGTTTTTACTTGCAGCCACCTTTTTCTTTCTATAAGGAATATGTTTATCTTGAATATTTAAAAATTTACCCCTAAAAATTTTCCACAATTCATCAGTGTCTCCAAATAACTCGGCTACCCAGTTCACAACAGATAATTCTTGTCACTTCACTTCAAAATTTGCTTTTTTTGAAATTTGTAACTAAAATATCATTATTGCTGATCTCCATATGAAGCAAAACATTAAACCTAATGGAGAAATGATCATTTTACCCAGATGTTCCCCAATTTCTATATTAGAACTTGACAATATACCTAAAATAGCATTGTCTCTAGTAGGTTCCTTGATCAATTGGTGAAGAAAACCCACCTTAAACAGTTTCCAAAAACCTTTCTTCCTCATAGTTTGAATCTAGAATTTCCCAATCTACATGCCTGAAATTAAAATCATCCATAATTATGACCTCATTAACATTTGAAATCTTAATTTCACAGTAAAGTTTCTCTCTAATTTCATCAGTATCATTTAGTGGTCTGTAACAAATTCCCACTAAAAGTCTTTTTCCTTTATATCCACAAATAGAAACCTAAAAGGATTCAATCTTCTTACTGTTATCTTTGATATCCTCAACTTCAACAGGATGTAACTCGCATTTTACACATAAAAACCACTCCCCCCCCCTCTCTTTAGTACTTTATCCCTATTAAATAACCTTTTACCCTGTATCTCAGAGAAATTTCTGCCATCAAAATCATTTCCATTTAACTGTGTTTCAGTTATTCACATTATATCAAAATACTCCATTCCTGTCAGTACCCTAAAGTCATCTATTTTATTTGTTATACTTCCAGCATTTCGATAGGAACAATTAAGCCTATCCTTAGAACTACTTCTATACTCATTTCCTTTTATTCTTTTTGCATTTAGTTTTTCCTGGTCCTCACCACTGTCTAGTCCCAATAAAAATCTTCCCTTACATCTGAGTTAATTGCCCTTGCAAACAAACCAGTCTCTACCCTATTTAAATGTAAACCATCCATTCCAAAAAGCTCTCTTGATACCACAAGTCCAACCAGCCTCCCTACTCATCTTTGCATACTAATCTACGCCTTGCATTCAGCCCTAGTGACCTACTCATAATTTCATTCCCACAATAAATTCTCAGCAGTATCCTTGATACAAGTTATGGCCTTTTTTCAACTCTTTGTACTTATTAATTAGCTTTTCTGACCTACCTTTCCCTACATTGTTAGCCTTATGTGCACAACAGAAACTGCACCTCTGTTAGCCTCCTTTATTATATCTCCTGTTCTGTCAGTTATATTCACCACCTGCGCATAATCTAATTATTTTCTCCCTATTTACCCCACAGACTATTCTATCCACATGCCTTGTCAAGGAATCATCTGCAACTATAACCTCCTTCAGTTTATCATCCACATCCTTCTCTGACTCTTTTGTTTTTCATCCCTCCAATAGTTCCTCATCTTCACAAGCCAAGGGCTGAAATCTGTTGCTCAACAGAATGGGCTCATTACAATTAAGTCCACTACTTTTAGTTTTAGCCCTAATAGTACTACTTCTAACCCTGAAATTCACTATTAGCTGATGTATTCCTTACATGTAAAAGCTAAAGCTCCTCCTCAAATCCAGCTGCCATTTCCCATGGTTTACACTTCTCTATATCTATTGCCTCTACTTTAATTAGGATAGCCTCCAACTTGTTTCTGTACTTTTTTGACAATATTTATTCCCCTTTTTAAATGAAAATTTTTTAATTATCTTGTTTTTATAACAGTGAATACACTTTATGTTGAGGACCAATTACAAATTTGATAGAGTTGGATAACTGTTAATCTGAAGCCTAGATTTAATCAACATATTTCAACACAACTAATCCTTTAAATGTGACCCTTAAATAAATTATCTTTTAATTCTTAATGTATTCTAATTTTTTGAACACAAACAGGAGACAGAAGTTTAAAATACTTGTATAAGCCCCCAAGAAAATATTTCTTACAAAAACTTGAAACTATGAACACATGCTGAGTATAATTTAGATATTGGCCAATTTCAAAAACTTTATAATTTCTGAGCACAACAAAGACTTGCTTGTTCCAAATACTTGAACAAAGCAACTCAAAGACTATCTGCACTAGCTATTCCTAAATTTGATCAGATACAGTAGAGGAAAGAAGCTAGTCAACAGCACACACCACCAACTTCTGTGCTATTATAATCAAGTAATGAAATTTATAAAGCACCTAAAAGTATATAGAATAGGATGCAAATCATGGACTCTCAGGATCACAGTCTAGACACTAACCAGTGCTTGGCCCACACAAGAAAATGGATGGTGTCTATACCATTATTGTGAAATCATACAGATGTCCCAATAAATGGACCCTCAATTTTAAATTATTGATAATAGTGATTATTTTTATCTTGCATATTCAAGGAAGGCATATTTCTCAGCTCACACCAACTTTAACAATCCCTTGGATGGCTCAAATATTACCATTTTCACACATAAACATAAATTTGAGTATTAATCAAGTCAGAATTGGGGTGAAAATAAAAGTGGTTTTAAAAAAGAATTCCAACATACAATTTAAAAAACAAAACAACAACACTTAATTGCCTCTATTCATTTTATTTCCTTTCCTTGTACATCTTACAGTTGAATGACTTTTAAAAACAAAAAATGCAGGTGCATTGATACTACCAATTTTATGTACATATGAAGATAACTACATCCATGTAACATTCTGTGCCAAATTTTAGCTATAGATTTATAATATTTAGGTGTTATAGAAAAAACAAATTAACATTCCCTGAGGCTCAATTTTTGCTCATAGTAATGCATTAAGATTTTTAAAAATCTAACTATACACAAGTATGATACATGAAGCACACAGTAAGCTAACCCTCAATATTTGTGTAGTGTAGCAAGTACTCAGTTAATAACTGATGGTCCATAAGGTACTTTCCCATGTATAAGAACATATAAATTTGCACTTCTCTGCTATATCTGCTTTAACATTTTTAAAGCCACATCCAATTCACAACTCATTGTAACTCTTATGAATGGACCTCACCAGAAAAGCACATAAACCATGAAATGTAATTTGAGGTGAATATCAAACAAATTGTTACTCTTTCCTTTGCACCAACATAGCATAATAGTTCATACCACATAAAAAAAATCCATCATATATATAGCCTTCGATGTTTATATGATGTACTTCAAACATAAAGGGTAAATCTTCCTACAAAGATACATCACTTGACTGAAAAAAAAGAAGAGAAATTTCAATTTTTACAGAAAAAATTACAGTATACAAGTATTTCATGTATTTGCAATTCTACAAAAAAGCTTTTTACTAAATTAAAAAAGAACATCAAGCTCACTAATAAAATGTCTTCAATCAAGCAGGGTATCTTGACAGAGCTCTTAAACACAATAAGGTGAGAGATGTATATTTGTTGGCATGGAAGGTTGAGACATTCTATTCGGACAAGAAAACACTGATAGTCTCAACAGAGATACCCGTATTTAATGATGGATCAATACAAAACCAGGGTTAGAAGGGTTTACAAATAATCTAATTTTGGAAGACCTAATAGTTAGAACTTAAAAAAAAAGTGAATTCCAGAATATATATTTAAAACTGTCAATAAGAAACTTCAATTTTGCTCTAAATGTGTTTCATTTGGGAAACTTCTGAGACTATGCTATAAAATTAAACAGACTGCAAAATGCTGAGATTCTTCTATTAATTTTAAAAAAATGGGAGTGTAGCAAAAAAAAGTGGATATCATACAAATAAAATGAATAGTTTAAAACCAAACAAAACATTTATTGAAATAAGTCAAACAAGTAATAAAAAATAATTGTGTGCATAACATTAACACAAGTCTGGAGTGTGCAAAAAAATCAGTTGGCATATGTATAATACACTTAATCATCTTTTATAGTAAAATACTTATAGCAGTTATTACATCATTAAGCAAATGTGACTACAAAAATTAATTTCTACCATTAAATTTGTTTCTTGAAAAAACAATATGATTTCCAAACTTTATAATAATCAAATATACAGTAAACTAGCAGCTGTGTGTTTACTTTCTATTACAGCATTTAAGTGTAACTTTAAAACACATCAGAAATGAAAATTGAGCTAAAAAATGCATTTTTTTGAAATTTAAAATCAAATGAAAAAATGTAACATTTCAGTTGCCAACATTTTAGTTAGTCTAATAGCATTTAGTAGATGTAAACAGACAAATGACACAATGTAAGACATATACTTCAGTCTCACACAGAGCTAACAAAAAAAAAGTTTTCACTCTAACAGGACACCAAGTTAGGACAAGTGAATTAAAAGAATTAATACCTTTAGCAGTTTCTGATGTACTGAATGCATAATCTTTAAACATTTTAACTATTTTGAACAGTTCTGAATTTCATTTCTCAACAAATATTATCCAGAATACTATAAAATGTGATGAAATAAAAATATATGCTAAGAGAAGTTATATTTGTTACTACTGTAGTTATCAGGTAGTTTGTAAGAAAGTATACAGTAACTTGAAAGTTTGAGCAAATCTTGTTTTGCAGAAGATAAAACAGAGTTACAGTCTAGAAACTGAAATATGACAGACACAATCAATATACTGTGTATACTAAAGGTGATGAATTATGAAATAATGGCACATGAAAGATTCATCAACATTAGGCATACACAGCTTTAATCTACCAGGATTTACTTCTAATAAGATACTGCATGGAAAGTTCACCATTAACACAATAGAACTTGGATATACACACACACACACACACACACAAACATATATATATATATATATATAAGCTACATAAAAAAAAAGCACTAGATATACATATGGACCAATACTGTGGAACTACAAATAGTCACATTCGAGAAGGTTTTACAAGTAAGATACACATGAACTGTACTGAGGGCCCAAAATTTAAAGGTGGATATATTCAAGAACATTACATGTCAAATGTGACAGAAGTGTGGTATAACAAGACCTAAAGAGTTTACTTCAAGATTACACAAAAAAAGGTACACAAGAGTTATGATATTATTGGATGTAGATCTAAAGATTACACCTGGAAAGAGCATCAACACTGTGGTATTACAAGACTCAGATCTAAATATTACACCTGGAAAGTGCACCAAACTGTGATATTACAGGTCTCAGATCTAAAGGTTACACCTGGAAAGTGCACCAAAACTGTGATATTAGAGGTCTTACATCTAAAGATAACACTTGGAAAGTGCACCAAAACTGTGATATTACAAGACTTACATCTAAATATCACATCAGAAAAGTGCACCAAAACTGTGGTATTACAGGATTTAGATCTAAAGGAAGTTAAATTCAAGTAGGTGCACAAGAAATGTTATATATTCTAAAACAATAATCTAAGTATAGATACATTCATGTAAAGAAACCTGAAAATGTACCAATACTGTGGTACATCAGTATCTCAAAGAAGTTCCAACTAATAAAACAATATTTGGAATGTGTATTACTACTGTAATAGTATTGCATTTCAAATTACAGTTTATTTGAGAACATTTCACTTAGACAATGCACTAAAACAGCTACACCATAGGATTTTGATCAAAATGGGATTCTTTACAAAATGCTGAAACTAGAAAACTTGAATTAAAAAAATACTGAATTAAAAAAAGACAATGAGGATGTATGAAAAAGGTGTTACAAGACTTAATTAAAAGGAAAATTACATGAACATCCTAATTATTACTTTTTGTAAAGCTATTATAACCATGAATTATGGGATTTGACACTGAAGCAGGAAAAAATAAGAACTGTTTATGCATCCTGGCATTATACTTTTCCAACTTGGAATGTTTAACAAATTACACTAACTACAACATTACAATCAAGATTTAAAATATTCAGGAACTCCAGTGACTCAGCAATATCAAGAAAGTATAAACTTGATGTGGATATGATGATATTAGGAAGTACAAACCTCTTGGTTCCTTATAATAACAGCAAGTTGTTTCTACAAAAGTTCTTCTTTAAATTGCAAAAGAAATGAAACTGAATGCATACAATTCTATGGTTCTAGCACAAAAGATAGATGAGAAACAACTATTTTAAAGCATGTCTTTTATACACAAGATTGGAGCTTTCATTAAAAATCATTTATTTTGTTGTTGTCGAATTTTGCCCAAAACTACTCACCAGCTGTCCCTAATTTAGAAGTGACAGACTAGATGAAAGACAGACAGTGAACACCACCTACTGACAACTCTTAAACTACTCTTTTCCAAAATAGTGGGATTGGTCATCACATTATAATAGCTGAAAGGGTTAGCATGTTTTGGTGATGGGATTTGATCCTCTGATTACACACTAACCATTAGGCAATGCAAGGTCTCTCAATAAAAAGTACTATTATTTTTAACCTACGAATGGACATACAGATCTGCTGTGTTCATTTTGGAAGGAACTTCGCACTATAATTATTTTGTTTACAATAATTAAAATTACTCTGTTATTGTTTACAAATAAAAATGAATAAAGCAATTTTCATTTCCTGGTTTGAGAAGAATTAATATCTAAGTTATAAAACAGCACAACAGTGAAAGATACATTTATACATATGACTCTAAAATCTAATTAAAAAGGTATCTTTAAAAAACAACTTAGTATCAGTATCAAACACTTTAAAACAAAATCTATAAAAATAATTATAAATTCCAATTTATCTGGAGTAAATGGTCATTTTTATTCTATTTGTTTTGCAAATAACAAATATTTTACAGATAGAACTATAAACTCTTTACTTTGCTGAATATTGTTAACTGTGTAGTTACTTCCAATGAAAAAAACGTTTAAAGGGCACCTTTTTTTTTATAACAAAGTTTATTTTTATTTCCTCAAAATACCTTAAAATATAGTTAAAATAGTTTAGTTAAGCCCAAAAAGAAATTATAATATTAATTCTGTAAGCTTCAAAAAGGCACAACTTATCAGCACTAGAATTTTATAATGCAATATTACAAGGACAAACTTATCAGAACACACCTAGTCTCTAAGACAACTTTAGAATTATAAAATTATTAGAATCCATAAAAATTGCAACGGTTAAAAATCAGTAAACTCTAAAAAGAATGACAAATGCAAGATATAATTACAGATTTTAGCACACTAAATCACAACAAAGATTGAAAGACAAAATTACACTGTTTACTGTTTCAATGTCACACAGCGGTTTCATGTCTCTGTAGTTATCAAAACTGGTGTATATACATGCTTTTTTCAACAAGTTAAACAGCTAAGTATTAACTAACTAACATGGTTTCAATATTTCATTCACATACTGCATAAAACTAGTAATAACGCTAGGTAACAAGCTGAAGAGAATTAATAAAAATCGATAATAATGTTTCAGTGTGTTAAAATGCTTCTATGATGATACAATTCAAATTAAATAGCACATTTTGAGTCTCAGGGTTTGGTTATAACGTGTAAAACCATCTATCTAGTATTATGCTGTCAATATAAAAGCATGTTAAAGCAAGAAATTAATGATATGATTGCAGTGCAGCATGAGTTAGAGCATGAAACTAATGATACAGTTACAAATGTAACCATATGTTAAAGCATGAAACTAAAGATTATGGTTAAAATTTAGCAGTGTTAAACATATTAAATGTAACTTTGAATAGGTTAATGACATGAAATGAGTACTGTCATTTTAATTAGTATCAGAAGATAATGAAAATGAATGCAAACCATCAGTTTAATTTACCATACTTATTATGTTCTTATGCTAATGACACTTATGTTTACATACATTTTATGAAGTATGAAGAATCAACTACAAATAGCTAGAACTTCTGAAATACAAAATTACAATAAAAGAATTGACAAACATAATTAGAAGAAAAGTAACAATAATGTAAACAAGTTACAAGATTAGAAGCATGAGGTATACCTTATTATCTGGAAATATAACCTAGAAGTTAAGCTTCATACTACATTAGAAGTCTTGTAAAACCTAGAGGCACTTTTATCATACTGTTTCCTACAAAACAAATTTTACAGCTTTGCCTGTAACAACATTTATATACTTCAATATTGACAGACTGTTGAGCAGATGCTTCCAGAAGGCTAGTTAACACCTTAAAAAAAACACTTCGGTGTAAAGTCAGTACAGGTCCCTTGATTAGATGAGAGATCTGAGACAAACCTAAAAACAGATGAATACTAAATGTGTGCAGAATGTAATTCTTTTATTTAACACACAAACAAGAAGAATGGTAAGAGAAAAAGCATATATTTCTCTACTGTGAATACATTTTTCATACGAAAGGAACAAGTCATAAAAAAAAATAATGAAATTTCCAAACTTTTTGATACCTTATTCACCAGTTTTAAATGAGAAACTGATTGCAATAAGGGTTGATCAACCTTCTGCTAGTAAACATTAGAGCCTGGGAAGAGCTTAATCATATATCATGATATGAACTCCAGGAAATTTCAACAACCAAATCAGTTTGGATTTATTTAAAGAAAATAAAATATAATATTAACATGGAGCCCTTCTATTCTGTTCTTTTGGGTTTCTACAATGGTTATATTATGCTTACTAACATATTTCTTAAAGCTATAGACATGCCAAAGAACTTGAATATATATTAAAAAGGTACAAGAACATTGCCCAAACGAAAAACCAGGAAAAAGTATCCAGCTCTTATAAACCTAGTATACTTGTAAGCATTAACTGTTAACATATCTATTACTTGAAGTAATACTAATGGCAGACATCTTACAGTATTCTTTCACTACTTCACAAGCAAGAATGTTCGATATTTCTTACGTTGTGAGTTTACATTATTAGGTAGATGTGAGGAGAAGTTAACTAACACTCAGTCACACTTATCTTTACAGATCATGCAACAATGCCTGGGCTGATGATCTTTGAGGCTTTGAACATGTTCCATTTTTGAATAAAATAAAATTGGAAAAAAAACCTACTGAAAACAGTTAAGTGAGCTAATCTTAGGTGTTGAACTATGTCAACTTGTAAAACAAAAGCTTGATTCTAAAATTTCAAAGTTATGAAAAGCTAGGATAATAAAATTTTGTAAGTTAGGGTTAGAGCACATAACTTCAAATTTCCATGTACATCAACAGTTACACTTCAAGCAGATGACAACAGACCAGTTCAGATCTTTAGAAACTAAAATTGTAAGACAGTACATCAAGCGCCAACTTTTCGTTTTCAGAACACTGATGCTGAAAGCACTTTCTGTCATTTGTTTTCAGCAGTTTCATTAAATAACATAAACACTATATTTTAGACTTTCCATGACATCTCTTAATTGTGTTTTAAATCTATATATTTATCTAAATATTGCAGTGATGATAATTAGACAACAGAAAACATTATCTATTTCTATAGTAATATTACTCTGGATGTTAATTCTTACCTTCATGTTATGATTGGCATAAAGTAACTAGACTGTAGTAACTAATGCATTCAATATCTGCCCCAGTAATAAAGACAATGTTTAAAAAGTTAATCAAATTTTAATCATACATTTCACTTTGTCTTTGCATTCATATATACTCCTTAAAAACAATCTTAGCATACTAGGTAATGAAAGAAGTCTAATTTTGGTTTTCCTAAAATATTTGGAAAGTATGTACTTAGTTGATATATTCCCCTTGCTATTTCTAAGTTTCATTCACTTATTGGTACCTTCTGCTACAATAATTTGAAGCATGAAATAAAAACCCATGATAAGAAACATTATATTATCTACAAGTTAGGTGTAAAAAGATAACACACAATCATTTCACAGCTACTGACCACAAAAGCATAATGTTAATAGATTGCTTTTACAAAAAAAATTACAATAAACACGTACAAAAATAAATTTACATTAACCAGATATTAAACATACAGAACTTTCAGTTTTCAAATAAAATTTGTTAAATCCTTACATGAGTACTAAGTAACCATACATAAAATAAAAAAAATAAGTTCTAAGAAAAAGGAAAAATCAATTATAATCAACAGTTGTTTCCATGAGTTTTAACTATATGTTTAAAATATCCCAGAAAGTCCACATAAGAGTCTTAGCACCAAGAAAGGAGCTGCTTGAATCAAAATAAATTAACTGAGAGACAAGCAAGATTATCCTAGTCTCTCTATGTATATAAAGGGCACAAAAAACCTAACACAACATGGGTGACATACCCTCAGAATCACCAGTACTTTCCAACAACGAAGTAAAACCTGTAAACAAACATTGTAAATCTAAAAAAAAATAAAAAGTACAGAAATGTAGTTGGAAGATGGCTGAGGTACCGATGTCTTGGAGTGCCTGAGTAACAAACTGTTTTGTACGACAGAGGATGTTCCACACTGTAAGATGGAATTAAATTGCCACCAAAAGACCATCAATTCTGGAAACCTATAGGTCAGTTTTAAATTCTGGTTCTTTATGAGTAGCTTGTTCTACTGCTGGTAGAAAGTTTTACTAATTGGATAGCTCATGTTCAAAGTGCAAACCACTGTTTCAACACAACATATTAAAAGCGTAGCATGCAATTTACCATAATGCTACCCTGTCATTATACTATCCAACTGATGCACAGGCTTCATACTGTAAGTTGTCCTATTAAATATAACCCTCCACCACATTTCTCTCTCTGCTCATATACAGTCACAACTTAAGGTCACCGTGTGCTCCATAGTTGGCAATGGTCTTCTTTATACGCAGAGCTGTAAGTCGGGCAGCAGAATTGTGGTACCAACATTCTTTAATCACGCGAGACATTACTCGAAGTGCCTATGTAAACAAAATAAAATTAATTAACAATATTTAAATAATGAAGAAAAGCTTTACTACAAATTACATCCTTATTAACCTTTACGTGATAAGGAACTACCAATGCATTTTTGCAATAAAGTATTTTATAGATACCATTTACTGTTATTGAAATGAAAGTTAATATTACAATGATTATCTATATTTCACAAACTAATATTTCAAACTAAAGGCAACAGAATCCCAAAATAAATATGCAATCAGTATTGTTGAAAATGTTGATTAAATTGAATTCCTCATTACACACCTGTAATCACATAGTATTAGACTAAATAAATATTTAATACAGGTTAGTAGTTAGCTGAGACGTTAAATTAATATTTTGTAAAGTAGAATTCGATGCCAAAATAATTTGAGAATATAAATTACTGCATAAACAAAAAACTAGCAGTTTTAAGATTTGTGGATATTATCATAAAGGCTACTCGGAATTAGTTAATGCAATTTGTCTGATTTTAATCTACTGAAACCATGTTTAAAGTTCTTACTAAATAATAATTAATTTTTATATGCTCACTACTCATACATTTAACTTGCTCAAAAAAGAAACCTCCATTGGAGAAAGATTTAAACAAAGTCCAAGGCTATTAACAGATTTTACTTTCTAGTTGCTGCAAATCTTACTTCTAAACGAAACACCATTAGAGAAAGGATTAATGAAATAAGAATGATGATTATCCATGTTTTACATAAAAATCTGCTAAGCAGACACTTTCTACTTTATATAATACTTGAAAGAATTTCATAGCTTTAAATAAACTAGTTGGTAGTTCAGAAAGTCTTTTAAAGTTCTTTCATACCTCACAAGACTGCCATCTGTTGGGCAAAGGAGGTCTTTGCTTATCTACACACACAACTTTTCGCATTTCTTCAATAGTTGGGTCTGAAGGTACCATATCACTGTAGGGTAGCTGATATTCTTCATAAAAGCCTATTATATGGTGTAAATCAAAACCACAGATGATTGTTGCTGTGTAATACAAGAAGAATCTGAAACTTCCCCACCCCCACCCCCCTAAGAAAAGGTGCCTTTATATAAAAACATTTTCCAATTTGAAAAAAAAATTATATAACAATAAAAAGTACATATAAAAAAGAAAATATGAATGTAATTTCAAGAATAACTATCTGTAATAAATTCAAAATATGTCCTGAAGTCTAGAAGAAAGTCTCCAATTGGAAGGGAGGGTAGTCAGGGAAAGAAATATTAGTGTTTTTTAATTTTTTCAATGCTGACTGAAGGATAGAAACCATTATTTAATGAAGACAACAAACAACTTCAGAAAAATGTTTAATTACTTGTACCAGACTTTTTGACTTACGCCTTTATCTAGAGTCTACGAACATCACTGATACCTTATGTGGTAAGATCCATATACCACAGAGATATGACATAAAATCGTTACTTAATTATGTGAACTGCTTTTGCAAAGAATTATACAGACTGCTTCACTCAATTACTTAAAATATTAGTTTAATTCTTAATTTAAAATTATCAAATTAGTGATATGTCTATAACTTTTCCCTTTGCTAGTCTCTTGGTCATTTGATCTCAGTTTCCATTGGCCTATTACAATCTTCTGCATCAATCTTTAGCTTCTAAAAAATTTTTAAAAAGTTGTTTCTTATGGTGAAAACATTTTTAAAATAAATTCAATGTTTATAACTAACTGAAGGTATCATAGAAGAAACCCTTGAAGTCAGCATAAGAGTGTGATTTTAGGCTTAGGATAAATACAAACTGATGGGTAAGTTTTGTTAGATGAAATAATTTCTAATTACAGTGAAACCTTGATAATCCAAACGCATTTGTAATGAAGAAGTTCTTCTGTATTATCAAGACATCTATATCACATCAGTCACTTGGAATAAAATGGATCACTATTACTAGCACCTGTAATTAATTGATAAATATAAGAGTGTTAATTAGTGAAAGTGGGTATGTAACTAGTAGAAAAAAAGGCAACTGTATGTATAATGAACTTATCAATTTATTATTTTATACGTTGTCAATAATTACACAGGCCCTTTTACAGTAATTCCTGTACACTGAATCCGAAAATATATATTTTTCTCCATCACTATATATTTT